CCCGTGAAGTGCATGGGAACCTCCTATGTACTACGGGTGTGCCTCTTGAGCCTGCCGAAGGGAGGCAGGGGCTGCAGCTGCAGCTGCAGCTCCTGCTCGAGTGCGTGAGGAACAGGCTATTTTGGGCCTGTTCCGCATCCCTGTTTCCGTGCCTGAGTCTTAGGAGCAGGTCGAAACAATGAGGGCCTGAAAATGGCCCTCCGTTTCAGGCTGAAAACTCTGGGTCTGAAAAGACCCAGAAATAGGCTGAAACGAGGTAGGGCCTGCAGGCCCTCGTTTTTCAGCATCCAGGCTGAAATGAACGGGGCCTGTAAGCCCTAAGTTTTAGGCTTTTAGGCTGAATGTCCGGGACGGCCCCTGTAGGGCCCGTGTGGCTACGCAGTATGCCACGTGTGTGTGTGTGTGTGTGTGTGTGTGTGTGTTCAATATTCACCACAACAGCCCCTATTCCACCCAGATGAGGAGATCCAAAATCAAAGTGTATTTCATCCTATTGACACGGACCTCCTCCCGAGTCTAAGCGCCACAGCTTTCTTTGTAACCCTGGGCAATGGATGGGAGGGCAACACTCCTTCCAACCCAACCTACAAAGGCGGGCAAGCCGGCTATCTCTGCCGGTGATCTCGTAGTGAGCAGCAGGAGGCTGTGGGGCCTCGAAATGGAGGCAGTGCACTCTGTTCTATTCAGAGGATTGAAGTTAATTGAACTTAAACCACCAGTACTTGGGCAACGCCTTAGCATTAACGCTACTCGATTTCCGCGGCCGGCGGGCCGTCGATAAATCGAATCGACAGCCCGCGCTGGACAGAATCATATAAATGTGGAAATGCCTAAGTAAATTGTGATGGGCTGACGGAGCTTCTGATTTGAGATTCTCGGTTGGGGTACTGGTGTCAATCCACACCATCATGACAGCGAACAGCCATTTCCTCAAAGTGCACAATGCACATTTTACATTCAAGGAACAAAATTGAACCCTTTTGTTTTAGGCCAAAAAACTACTGAAAAATTAAAAATCATGCTTACGATCCGGAGCCCAGTCCGGACCGTCCGCGTCTGAATGTCCGGGCAGACGTCCCGTCCAGTAGGTCCGGAATTAAAAAAAGAAAAAAAACAAGAAAAAAAAACGGTTGTTCAAGGCCCACCCCCCCCCAAAATGCTAACTATTTTCTGGCCCTTTCAGAAATCCAAAGAGGGCCAGGCTTTGACATATTCTGATTTTGTGTGTGTGTGT